AACTTGTTCAAGGAGCCAGTACACAGCATTGAACGTCCGCCACCAGGACTAGACCCTGCATTCGTAAGGCAAGCTTCTATAGGACCACGGATTCCCAACATCCTCTGCCCACCCTGCATCTGTTTTGTTGTTGTTGCTGCTGTTCTGCTTAGCATAATGTGTTTTTTAAGTTTATTACTTATTTTTTAGAGAGAGAGACACAGAGAGACAGAGAGAGAGATAGAACAAGCTGGGGAGGGAAAGAGAAAAGGGGAGACAGAGAATCCCAAGCAGGCTCTGCACTGTCAGCAACACAGCCTGATGCGAGGCTCAAACCCATGAACTATGAACCAAAACCAAGAGTTGGACGCTCAACTGATTGAGCCACCCAGGCGCCCCAGCATAAGGTGTTTAAGGTTTATCCAGTGTAGCATGCATCAGTACTTTACTCCTTTTTATAGCTAAATATTCCATTGTATGGATTTACCACATTTTGTTGATCTGTCTACCAATCTATGGGCTTTGGGAATGATTTCAGTTTGGGGCTATCATCGATAAGGTGCTTTGAACATTGTGTACAAGCTTTTATGTGGCCCTATCTCTTCAGTTCTCCTGGTTACATACCCAGAAGCGGAATTTCTGGATCATATGGTCAGCTTGGGTTGGAGCAACCTGCAGGGCAATGCCCCTCTCACAGGGCATGAGCCTGGGATCCAGGGATGGCTTTCTTCTAATGATTGCTTTGTGGATTTTGCTGTATTCATTGTAGAATCAAATAACTTTCTCCCCAATAACTCCTTTTAGATGGAGTGCACTTTAAGACCCAATCATTACTACTCCACCAAATACACAAGCAACCAAAGAAAAGTGGACAAACTGCACATCATCAAAAACCCAAAATGCTGTGCCTTCAGTGACACTATCAAGGAAGCGGACAACCCACACAATAGGAGAAAATATCTGCAAATGATATATGTGAAAAGAGACTTGTATCCAGAATATATAAAGAACTGTTACAACTCAATAATACAAAGACAGCCCAGTAAAGAAATGGGTAAGGGATCTGAGTAGACATTTCTCCACAGAAGACACACAAAGAGCCAACAAGCCCGTGGAAAGGCGTTCCACATCGTTAGTCATCAGGGAAATGCACATGAAAACCACAATGAGACACCTGCTAGCTCTCAAGCACTAGGAAGGATGCTGCAGTCGACAAGACGAATAGCAACCAGTGCTGGCTGGTATGGGGATAGACTGGAACCTTCATACACTGCTGGAGGGCATGCCAAATGCGGTCATCCCTTCGAAAAAACAATTTGGCAATGGCTCAAAAACAGGTTACCTTCTGACCCAGAAACTCCACTCTGGGGTATATACCCAAGGGAACTGAATAACATGTCCACATAAAAATTGTGCCATGAATGAGGTCATAGCAGCATTACTGACAAGAGCCAAGAAATCGATCTAAGAATGCATTCATTGGTATATGAATAAATAAAATGTGGTATATCCATACAACGGAATGTTATTCAGCTATAAAAAGGAATAAAGTACTGATGCGTGCTACACTGTGGATGAATTTTAAAAATGTTACATCAAATGAAAGAAGCCAGATGGAAATGACCACACATAGTATAATTCCACCTGTAGGACATGTCCCGAACAGGCAAATCTAAAGAGAGAGAAAGTAGATTTGTGGTTGCCTAAGGCTGGGGGGGATGGGATGGAAAGGGAGAGACTGCTAATAGGTGCGGGGTTTCTTTTTGGGGTACTGACTGAGCGCTGATTGCACAACTCTGCAAATATACTAAAAAAAAAAAAGGAATTATATACTTCGAATGAAATTAATTTTATGGTTTGTAACAAAAACAACACAGCGCACACGCACACACTTTGCGGACATTCCTCATGGACATTCCAAGCTATGTGGAAGGAAACCCTGCACACAGCCTGACTTAAACCAACTGTGTCACTGGCCAGAGAGGGGGTTGCTCAGAGCCCCAGTGTGTTTCCTTCTAACTCTGCAGGGTTGTTTTTTTGTGTATGTGTGTGTGTGTTTTAACATCTTTAAATGAACTACACCAACACATCAGTTCTTCTCCCTTGGGAGGATGTTTTTATTGAACAGTAACTTCAACAAACCCCTGAGACATTTTCATCAGTTCATTTGCAGGTAAACACAAAGCACCAGCCATTCATGCCAAACAGTGTCAAGTTCACAGCACCCATTGTGTCACATGTTAAAAAGGCCATGCCTGCCACCACACACAGAGCACCCCCTTGGCCGCAGATTCCACTGCAAGTCCACTTTTATGGTCCGTGCCTCTTTCACACAGAGTCCACATGCACTGGGGACTTCATGCGGTCTCCATATGGAGCTCTGCACTCTATTTCTTTCCACTGGACTCTTCCCTCTTTCTAATGGGTGTAAGACAACTCCAGGGAACACTCTAGAAGAGACCCTTCCAGAGAGACCGGTTTCCTTGAGTCCGGTAATCACATTTCACTTATCTATATACCTACCCCCAGTGCTCAGCACAGAGCTTGGCCCTGAGCAAACATGTTAAATATCCAGGGTTTTTAAAGTTTATTTATTTTCAGAGAGAGTACGCACACATGCATGCACACGCATGGGGGAGAGGCAGAGAGAGAGGGAGAGAGAGAATCCCAAGCAGGCTCTGCACTGTCAGCAACACAGCCTGATGCGGGGCTCAATCTCACAAATGGAAAGTTCTTGACCTGAGCTGAAATCAAGAGTTGAACGCTTAACTGACTCAACTACACACATACCCCCTGGATATCGGTTGTACAACAGGATGGATGGATGAGTAGGAGGATACACAAATGGACAGATGTGGGCAGACAGGTGCGTGGATAGACAGTTGGATGGACGGACAAACAGGATGGACAGATGGATGGATGGGTATCAGGACAGATGAACAGACAGGTGGGTGGATGGATAAATGAATGGAAGGACAAACATGGTCAGACGAGTGGGTGGACAAATGTGGACAGATGGACAGCTGAGTGGATGGACAGATGGATGGACAAATGTGGACTGATGGATGGAGACAAGTGGGTAGGTAAATAGACAGATGGACCAACAGGTAGAGGAAAAGACGGACAGATGGACGAATAAATAATTAACAGAGGTCCCATCACATGTGCCCTCTGTCCACTTACGGAAACAGCAGTGAGTATCTGGTGCTGGTGGTCTCCTGCCTAAACCCAGGCTCCAGGATAGGAATTTACTACACCCCTAAAAAGCTAAACCTGTTCTTCCATCCATCTCCAGAGTCTAGCAACAGATGAACAGAAGGAAGCTGTCACCCCTCACCCTTGAGGTGATCTATTACCGTTCATTCCCCATGCAGTTGAGGACTGCCTCTACACTGGCGCTGGGGACACAAGCAACTGAGCAGACCCAGGGCTGACCCTGGTGGTGACTCATGGGGCTCACAGCTGAGTGCCCGGTGTTTTGAGAACATGTAGGAAGGGAAGAAGGAGGTGGTCAGGAAGGGACATCTGAGACTAGATGTAGGAGTAGGAATCAGACTGATTGACAAGCTGTGTGTGTGTGTGTGTGTGTGTACACGCGCATAAGAGGGGTAGGGAAGGGAGAGTGACAGAGAGGGAGGAGGGGAGGAGGGAGAGTGAAAGAGAAAATGGAGGACAGAGAGAAAGACAGAAGGACAGAGGGAGGGAGGAAAAGGCACATGCCCATGGCAGAACAAGTGCATGAGCGCTGACCCTGAAGCAAGGGCACAGGTGCGTCTGATGGGAAAGCCCAGGCAGCTGGGATATAGAACGCAAGGTAGGCGTGCCCAGAGATGGGAGCAGAGTCATCAGGACCCTCTGTGACAGGCCTGGATGCTCCAAAGATAGTGACAGAGCCCCAGAGGGGTGTCCCCAGGGATAAGATCAGGTCTGCATTCACACGGAAGCAGGAGCCAGGACCGCACTGCCTGCCCCAAAACGACTCAGCCAGCTTCCTCTGGTTAGAATCCTACTGAATATCAGTGAGGCTACGCGAGAGAAACCCCCGCCACAGCTTTCAGGGAGCAGGCTCTGGGGCCTCATGAAGCAGCCTGGACCACGCCTTACCCCGTGGAAGGCCTGCTTCTCCTGTCCTCACTGGGTTCTTATGGGCAGGGGGTCCCTTGGTTCAGCTCAGAAGCCCTAACAGCGGCCGAGCACATGCCCCAAGCAGGGCCGTGTAGGTAGCCGAGGAGGCCACTGTCACACTGGGGGTTGGCTGGTACCTTTAGACTCACCTTTACCAGTGTGGGCCTTTTCCCTCCAGGCACCAATACACTGGAAGAGCCATCAGCCCAGAGCCCCCTCCAGTGGCTTCCCCTCTGAATCAGGCCATGGCTGAGATCCTGAGACCCGCCTGGAGCCTGCTCTAAGTGCCTCCTGTATGCAAGGCCAGATGTGAGCGAGGGACCCCTGGATGGTTTGCACCAGCCAATCCCGGCCACTGCCCTCGGGGAGCTTCTGATGTGGCTGAAGTTTCTCTGGAAAAGAAATGTGCCTCCCTAGAAACCCTTCTGGTGTCTGTGGTCTCACGGTGACATCTGGGCTGGCATGGGCAAACCTGAAACAGATCTCTGCAGTGCAGGCTGGAACGGGCATGGCCCTTCTCCGAGCTTCAAGAAAGAGGCACATGTGTGTGGTTCCAGTGAGATCTTTACAAACCGCCCCCCGAGTAACAGAAAGTACACTAGGTTAAACAAACAAGCTTCTGAAATTCGAGCTTGGGAAAATAACTACCTGTACCTCTTTAGATCTTTGTGCTTGAGGAATGCAGCACTTTCTCAGGCTTTCTATCACCTGGGCCCACAAAACAAGCCTGAGGTAGTCAAGGTCTGTGCGGTCGCCCTCTCCTCGAAGGGGAACACAGCAGGGACAGAAGCCAGCTCCCAGCCACAGGAGCATGGAGTGACAGGGGCAGCTCTCACACCCGTGGCCCCTGGGGCCCAGAAAGGCCCCTCAACAAGAGTCAGGATGGCGTCTGGGAGTTAGGAGCTGGGCCGCACGTGCTTCTTCTGAGACTCCCAGGCCAGTCCTGCATCCAGCACGGTCCTCTTGGCTTCCTTCCTGGCCGGCTCGGCCCCACAGGCTCGCCCAAGCCGCCCTGCTTCTTCTCCCACTCCGCAGTCTTCATCACTCTTTGTCTGTTCCCACTCTCCGCTGGTCCTCTCCTGAATCAGGAAAAAAAAAAGAAAAAATCAACAAAGCTCTCCAATGCTGGCTGGAACAAGCCCGCAGTGTCCTGGCCGGGCCCCTGCACTCACTGCGTGCTCAGATTCAGAACGGCTGAGCCGGGTTCCAACACCCCAGCCAGCCACAGGGACACTGTATTTTGTTCCTAAGATGCTCTGGACACGTATTTGCTGATGGGAACATACTTCCTGAAGGGAACTGAAGAGCCCGGCCCATGGAGATCTGAGAAAGGGCAAAGCGAGAAGCACTACTTTAAAAGGTGGCACCCTTATGCTTGAGCACGTGGACCTCCCAAGATGCCTGCCCACGGGCGGGACGTCACACTGAACACCTCCTGCTTCCTCCAAAGGCCTTCGAGGTTTAAATGCAAAGTCAGGGATCCGCAAAGAGGCAAAGCACAATACTGTCAGTTCGGTGGCCTGGTAGAATTGTCAGTGAGCCAAATTTTCCATTGCAAACCAAAGAAAATGAAAGCCCCCTCCTCCGCCCGCTTTTCTAAAACAATCCAGCACTTACTGGGATAGATCATGCCTTTGGTGTCGCGTCTTCTATCCCCGTATCATCTACTTTCCAAAATAAGCAGTACTGCCCACAAGTTGCAACTGTTAAGTTTGGGAGCTTAAAATCATTAATAATTCTTCAGGAATTCAAGAGCAAACACCCTTCTGTGGCCGAGAAGGGGCGTTATCAGAACTATCTTATACCGGCCAATGTCTGTCTTGGCTTCGGGAAGATGCCTCATGGAATCACATCACTTCAAAGCAGACCACTAAGGTGGACCAATAAGAAATACTTAGCAGCCATCCTTGTCGGTGGGTCTATTCTCTCTCATCACTCTGGGCTCCACAATGACCTAATGCCATATTCCATTTTGCAGCATCTGGGCTTAGAGGCGTGGAGGAGGAAAGAAAGAAATTTGTCCGCACATTTGCTCCGCTTGAAAGACACTGGTCCATGGCAGAATGTGAAATTCAGATTTTCCAATACTTCCTTCAGAGAGCAGGGTGACGCTGATTGCCACGTGTTCTCTGCTTAGTTCTGGCTTCGTTAGAGCTTGTGCAGCTCAGAGAAGAGGACCGTGAAGAGTCTAATTATGAAGGCCTCGCCTCACGCCGCAGCACAGAGACTCCGAGTGTGAATCAACAGCCCGCTGCCGTGGAGAAGCCCACAGCCAAGGTGGTGAGGGAGAGGCCTCGTGGGTTCAGAGCTTCACTAAACAAGCACAACGTGATTGCTAAGAAAACAAGACACATTCCCAGAATGACACATTCACCACCGTACCTTCTTGCCTCCTTCACGACCAGACATTCTGGGTCCATCATCTGGAGAAGTCCGCCCACAACTGCTCACGTCCTCCTGGGAATTTCCCGGGTGTGCTGCCCTCCCCAAGCAAGAGAGTGGCATAAGCAAATGGAGGTGGCTCCGAGGGAGCAGACAATCAAAAGATTAACAGTACAGCAGGGACCCTTCCAAAAGTACCGATCACCACGACCCAATTCTATCCTCATGACCTTCACTGTGACACCTGCTACAGTGCCTTGTGGAGAAAAGGGAAACTTGCCAGGTTTGGGGAGACATGAAGCAATGGTTCTACTCAAGTGTGTCTCCCATCCAGGTACTAAGCAGGCCCTTCCCTGCTTAGCTTCCAAGATCAGAGATTGGGAGTAGAGCCGTAGGCACTACTCAAGCATTTCTGAGCTGGAATTCTTTTCTTCCAATTATCTGGACATTAAACGGAGTTAGCCTTGCAGAGCTATTCCTAGGCCCTTCTCTTTGCTCGCTGAAATTGTTACTCACAAGAGAACCCATAATCACCCTTGTTAATTCAGCCCTCCTCCCCCTTTCCAAATCAGACCGAACTTGGAAAGGATAACTTTGCTGTCCCACTGTGTACTTCCTACATCCCAAAATCCATACGTACAGGTATGTGATGGGGGGGGAGGGGAGGGGCACTCAGATGCTTTAGGAAGAAAAGTTTTCCAGTTGAGCTAAAAATGCAAACGAAACACATTTTTTCAAATAAAAATAACATTATTGAAACGTTACCTATACAGGTAAATTTTAAAGTTTATTTACAGACTTTATAAATTAGCCAACTTTGGTTTGGCAAAATTGAATCCTAAGCAGTGAAAAACACCAGAGTACTTCAGGGCTCCCTTGGGAGTTTCTATATAATGCAGTAATGATTCCTCATGTACTTCTCTTTGCAAAAGTAAGCTCATAAATGAGTTCAGAGACTCAGCCTTATTCACTACTATATCCTTATCACCTCAACCAGTGGCCTGGCACTGGGAGATCCTCCATTAGAGTAATCTACTGAATGAATGAATGAGTGAATGAATGAATGAGAATGCATGAATGAATGAATCAGAGAATGAAGCAGACAATTCATTATATTCTACACTTCCTGATGTGTGAAACTATCTTTTTATGCGTTACAGACTAAAGTGTGCTTGGTAACTATCAAATGTTTACTTGTATTTTATTCCTAACCAATAACAGTTCAATAATTTTTAAAAATGAATGCTCTAGGGGCGCCTGGGTGGATCAGTCAGTTGAGCGCCCAGCTTCAGCTTGGGTCATGATCTCGAGGTCCGTGAGTTCGAGCCCCGCGTCGGGCTCTGTGCTGAGCGCTCAGAGCCTGGAGCCTGTTTCAGATTCTGTGTCTCCCTCTCTCTGACCCTCTCCATTCATGCTCCGTCTCTCCCTGTCTCAAAAATAAATAAATGTTAAAAAAAAAAAAATGAATGCTCTAATTTGGAAGCACGAGGATAAGAATCCGAGAAGCAACCACCCAGGTAGGTCACAGTAAGTTACCATCCAGGAGTTACTCCCATATGGGACGCAGTAGGTGACAATGGCCGCTAGAGGGAGCCACACAACCTTTCAAAGAGCAGCATTAGGAAAAACCCATCCAGGATGATGGTACTGCTATGCACTTCCCACCAGAGCTCACGCCGCCAAATTGCTGTAACTACCACACTATGTCATGTCCAACTCACCAAAAAAAACTGAGACAAGCTCAGAGCTGCAAGCATCAAATTTTTAGAAAAAAGACCCTGCCCGCCCCGCCCCCGGCCCCAGCTCAGAATTCATTCACATCTTTTTATATACATACACCATAGCTTTAAAAATTAAATGTAGCGGCTCAATCCGTTGAGCATCTGACTTCAGCTCAGGTCATGATCTCACAGTCCGTGAGTTCGAGCCCCGTGTCGGGCTCTGTGCCGACAGCTCAGAGCCTGGAGCCTGCTTCGGATTCTGTGTCTCCCTCTCTCTCTGCCCCTCCCCCATTCACACTTTCTCAAAAATAAAATAAAATAAAAACATAAAAAAATTAAAAAATTAAATGTGAATAAAATTCTTTTCCCTGTGGATAACAATTGAATCTATTAAAAACTCACCTGGGAAGAAAGCAACACTATAACCTAAACAATGAAAACAATGATTTTTAAAGCTGTGTGCAATTATTTCCTGCCTCCAGCCACATTTTTGTAAAAGAACACTCAACTGCTGGAGGATTCAATTTCATCTCCTCCAGTAAAGAAACTTAAGGCATGTGCAAGCTAACTGAGAAGTCACACCAGACAGAATTATGATCCTATTGGTCAAGTTTCAAAGGCTTCATATGTAACTGAGTGTAGGAAGGAAAAAAAAAAATTCCCACAAACTCCTTCTCTCAAAAGTTCTGAAAACGCTGTAAATATTTTCAGGGCCATTATAAGCCACAGATGTTATCAACAGGCAAGATCGCGCAAACTTTAAAAGACCTCGTCCATAAATGACGCTGCTTCAAAAAATAGATTTTGAAACCCTGGAAAGGAGCACAAGTTAATTTCCCTTTGGAACATTGTAAAACGTCCATGCCTTACTTAGAATGTAAAAAACAATTGGCTCCCCCGGGCTTCTTGCTTACAGTTCTACCGCTACAGCACATGAAACTGTAGGAGCCCTCCAAAATAACAGCCAGAAATAAAGAAACAAAAGATAGAACTTGAAAAGCAGAACAATTCAAGAAAGCAACTCTAAGAATAACGGGCTGGTTAAAAACTAAAATTAAATTAAATGGCTGTGTGACATTTCCAGGCAAAAGAAGATTCCAGAACCTGCACTGTGGGGTGACCTGTGGGAAAACCTAACGGGCTAACACAGATTTCCAAGAAGGCAGACAGACTGTAAACTGAGAAAATGCAGAGCATCTGGGCTAATCTGTGATTGCATTTGCAGCCCCCCACTCACCAACCTGGAAAAAACCTGAAATGTCAATGCTGACAAAATTGTTACAAGATGAAGCTGGCTGGCTGAAAACCTTCCTGACTGAATTAAAATCCTGACTGCTGGCCCTGGGGGGACACAGAAGTTGTGGGTGAAACCGGGAACTAGCCATGATTTATACAGGGAGTGAAAAGATCATAATTTAGCATTTTTTTAATTATATAGTTTTAATTATGTAATTATATCCTGATCATAACGATGACCCTTCTTCCTTCAAAGGACTCCAAGCATGCTTCTGGAACATTCCCCGTGCAAGTTCCTTCATTTGCTGTTTTAAAGAGAGAGTTGGCAAATCTCACAGTGAGTTAAAGTGACAGGTCTGGCATCTGACTTCCAGCTCAGTTTCCTGTGACCAGACCACACCAACTCTCAGCTCTTGAAATAACCCCAGCGGCATTCTCCTCCGAGGGAAGCAGTCTCCCCAATTATGCGAACACGTTCTCCCACTGCTTACCCCCCTCCAGCCTGTGCAATTTCCACATTATTTCCACATTCTGATAGGCAACACTTTTTTTTTCCCCTTCATTCCCAGCCAAGGAGCTGCAACATCCAAGACACAAAGGCCAAGTCCACGTGGGAGCTGCAGGCTCATTTGTGACGTTTCTTGATAAACCCACACAGCTGGTCAGCTTAGTGCATGGGGATCCGGGCAAGCTCCCCTTTCATTTCTAACTGTGGGTGCCACAGGGCAAGTCACTTAACCGCCTCATTAGGATCACAGTCACAGCCCTACCATGGCCTGCTTCCCAGGTGCCTGGTCACCCCATTAATATCTGCAGAGATCCATTAAGCCTTCTAGCTGAAAGGCACCATAAAAGCAAAACCTATCATTGTTATCATCAATAAACTCCAAGACGCTCTTCCCTGTCACGACCTAACGTAAATCAGTTACCCACGTGGAAAGCCCACGGAGGCCTAATGAGCTACCTACAGCCTGGGAAATGGCATTTGATGTTGACAGGAGCTTTCTTCCCCGGGGGCGGGGAAGGAAAGCCAGTGCTTTCACTTTGGCGGGTGAAACTTAAAACTGTTAGACCCTCCTGAGCCTCCCACCCACACACAGCACCTGCAGCCTGAAAGGGTTTGCCGGGATTCAGCCCTGCCCTCCAAGGCCCTCTCCCTGAGCACTGAGCTGAGAACCAACAGCAATGTGCAATCCATCCCGGGGGGAGTGCAATCCATCCCCGACGTGGGAGAGGAGGAAGGCACACTGTCAAAAAGCAACTTGGGGAACCAGACACAAGTGAATCTGGTCTTCCCACCCCATCTCCCCTTGGGACCTTCTGCCCGTTCTCATTGCTTGAAAACACCCTCCATCAAAACCCCGCCGGCAAACACACCGTGGTGCTATAACAACCTCAAACTGAAGACAATGCCTGTCGATAACAGGGACTGCCCAAATAAACACCTCCATACAGCAGCTTACTATGCTGCCAATAAAAAGGGCGGGGACAAAGTACTCATTTGCAGAACGCTGTCTCTGCAATGCTACCACTTACGTATGCCTGCCATCTCCCCCAAGGGAAGGAGGGAGTGCATGGAAGCCTTGCTCTTCAAGGTAAACCCTTGTGTGGCCTTCCAGTTTTTAACCAGGTGCACACATTAGACCTCTTCTGGGTTTCAGTGATCCCTTCGAGTTATAAACAGGGAGCCACTCTGTCCCAGGGAGCTTCTGATTTAGTTAGATTGGGGGAGATCTTCATCAAAGTCCAGAAGATGTGGCTCATTCGGGAAAGGAAGGTAGACCAAGGACAAGAAGCCACGACCCCGGAGGCGCCTGGGTGGCTCAGTCGGTTGAGCGTCTGACTCGGTATCAGCTCAGGTCCTGATCCCACCATTTGTGAGATCAAGTCCCACACTGGGCTCTGAGCTGATAGTGCACAGCCTGCTTGGGATTCTCTCCCTCCCTCTCTCTCTCTCTCAAAATAAATAAACATTTTAAAAAAGAAATAAACAAGAAGGCACCACCCTGGTCTCACTCCCTCCTCTGTTCTTGCAACAATAAACATAACACCTGCCCGGGCCTGACTCCATCCGTATGCATTAACCTGTGCTTCAAAGGGCACTTTATTCGCTGTGACTCACGGTCTGGAAGTCTTGACTGTTGCAGTTGAACCTTCAGCCAGATGCTGCCTCGCTGGCCCCAGGCTCCTGGGGGTTCCACCTCCCACAGGCGACCCCGCTCCTCCGGATGGGCCAACAGGAACTTCCTGCACACTGAGGATGTGCAAGAGTGAGCCAGGAAGGCCCGCCCCCTCTGCGTCTCAGGGGCGAGCACTTCCGGTTCCAGCCAAGGCCCCGCCCCACCTGGCTCTGCTCTGTTTCTGCTGCAGGGGCACCAGTGTTTGGCCTCCTCAGCTGTCACCCCTCATGCTCCCGCTTTCACCCACCCCATCTTAGCTGGGGCCACCATAACAAAGCACCACACGTTGGGGGGCTCCAACAACAGACTTCCACTGTCTCACGTGGTGGGGGCGGGAAGTCCCACGGCCAGGCATGGGCAGAGGCTTGCAGATGGCTGCCTTCCCACAGTGGCGTCGCATGACCTTCCCTCTGCACCCATCTGTGTCCCAGGCTCCTCTTTTATAAATAAGAACCACTTCTTAAGAATCTATTGGATCAGGGCCCCACTCCTATGACCTCATTAAATTCTAATTGCCTCTTTAAAGGCTCCACCTCCACGTATAGTCACATGGAGGGTAAGCTTTCAACATAAGGCTTCGGGGGACCCAATCAGCCCTTAACATCCCCCCAACACTGTCCTCTCCTCGGGCACTGTCCCTCCTTATCCTGAGCCTCCCCAGCCCTCCTCTCCCACAGAATTTCCAGCTCATCCTCTGCAGATGCCTTGATTCCAGTCACCTCAAGGCTTAAAGACTTCTATGTCTGCATTCACAGGGTGAGAGTTTTCTCCGGGCAGTGCCCCAAGCCCAGCCAAATGGGCAGCTGCTCCTGGTCCCGCAGGTGCCCATGGGGACCCCGTCAGGCCCTCCCCTCATACGTCCCAGCCGGGGGCAACAGCACAGATGGAAACCTCCAGAGGGTGAAACTAAGTATTCGGAAAGTGTAAGCCAAACTAGCAGAGTGCTAGATAGAATGTTCTGCTCTCCTATCTTGACAAATATAACTTCATAACAACAGGGAAAGCCAGTTTCAAATTTAGAATTCTTGGACTCCTTGGAGTTTTGCACCAGAATGTGGCAATACTGAGGGAGCTGCCCCCCCACCCCCCGACAGACGGCCCACCCGCTTCTTCTTCTACCCCAGCCCCACACACGTACACAGCAAGGGGCCTGTGAATGCAAATGTGAACACCACGCCCACACTCCACCCACATCCCACCAACGCCTGTCCCTAGGGTCTAAAGATAT